CCCCCCCCCCCCCCCCGTGACCCACTCCTCCAGCCACGCCCCACCTGCCTACCATTACCACCAGTCTGTCCATTCAAACCAGGATGAACTGGTTAGGTTATGGCTCTCGTGATCTGTTATTGACACAGGAGCTTTGCGGAGAAACAGAGAGAGAAACACAAACACTACACAGAGGAGCTTTGACATGCAGAAGTCTGAAACCGCCATCACTGACTGGGTCATGATGGCCACTGGAGAGTCTACTTCGACCACAGGGCTCACTGGACCCCGAGGTGGACAGATGGGAGACTTGCTCTTTCTACCTTCCTCACCACACAGGCGGAATGCTGCTCGTGGGGAGAGCTAGTGGTGCTGAAGCCTTTTTAAAAATGCACATCTCTAGGGAGATATATAGCAGTTATGGTTTAGAGGTGGTGTCCCCCAAAAGCTCACATGTGAGACAATGCAAGAAGGTTTGGAAAAGAAATGACTGAGTTATAACCGTAACATAATTAGCGAATTAGTCCCTGATGGGATTCACTGAGGGGTAACTGGAGGCAGGTGGGGTGTGGCGGCAGGAAGTGGTTCACTGGGGGCGTGGCCATGGGGTATATATATATATATATATATATATATATATATATATATATATATCTGTATCTGACAATGGGAGACCGCTCTCTGCTTTCTGATCATCATGAGAGCTGTTTCCCTCTGCCACACTATTCTGCCATGATGTCCTGCCTCACTTGAGCCCTGAGGAATAGAGCTTGCTGTCTATGGATTGAGACCTCTGAAACTGCCAGCCCCTAAATAAACCCTCACTCCTCTACAGTTGGTCTGGTCAGATCTTAAGTCACAGCAGTGAAAACGCTGACTAAAACAGTAACCTTAAGCTTTGGCATGTCCCACTGTAGCATGAATGAATCCTTCCTCTTGTACACTGACTGGGGTCCCACTGCATACTTGTACCCAGACTCTGGCTCAGCTGACACCAACAGTCTGGTTGCCTGGATAAGGTGGCTATGGCTGCCCAACTGCCTGTGCTGTCAAGTTGCTCCATGTGGCATCTGCAGGTCAGAGTGTCCCGGTTTCGTTCACTTTCTGGGCTGGAATGGCATCTGCATTCGCCCTCTGGGCTGGAAGCCCCCATGGTCAAAGCCCCACCCTGTGGTGTGCAGGAGCTGGGCCTACAGGAAGGTGGATCAGGCTGTACCAGATGATGTCTGCAATTTTCGTTAAGTGTACATAATTATTGCATAGACAACTCAGTGATTTTAAGTTTTGGGTACTCAGCTGCTGCTCATGGTCTCATGGTAGAAGACTGTCATCATGAGCAGCTGCTCATAGCTGCCTGGTCATGGTGGCCACAGAAGCCCCAGCTGCTTGGGAGAGAGGGACATCCTAACATGACCCAAGTCGGCTGCTACTCCATACCCATGGCCTCCTCACTGGGCCCGAGGCTCACCTGAGCTGGCCTTCCCTCATCATGGATGGTATTTAGGACATCTGCCTCCATCCTTCCTACCAGCATCAGTGTTGGCGGGGCCCTGGAACACTGAGGCCCCCAGTGCTCCAGGCCCATGGTCTATCTCCCCTCATCCTCAGTCTCCCCCAGGAACATTTCCTTAATGTGTTGTGCATTGTGCTAGGCCCTGGAGGGAAACCGTTATGAGAATAAATGGGGAAGAAAACCTTTAACCTGATAGACACAGGTCTAGTTGGAGTATTACCATGCTGGTAGCTTAAGGGGAAATGTAGCACCAAGTCTGTCTCCACAGGATCCTTTTGGAGACAGCCGTATTCCCAGGAACACACTTTGGGAATTGCAGTAAGGAGGGCTGGCTAGGCTGGGGACAAGGCCATGCACAGGGGTGATCTTGCCCCCAGGGGACAGGTCTGAAGAAATGTTGAGTTATCACATCCAGGGGGTACCTCTAACATCTAGTGGGCCAGAGTGCTCCTAAATATCCTGAAACCCAGGGGGTAGTTCCCATGACTGTTGTGTGGCCCCAAACATCAATCGTGCCAAGGCTGGGTACCCTGGTCCATAGGAGGAGGACAGGAGCCAGGATGTGTGGAAGGAAGCAAGGCCCACCTGGGTATGCAGCCTGAGCTCATGGCCCACTCTGAGGATATGGCCCTCCTCCACTCCCAGAAAGGCAGGTCAGAGGCCTGGCAGTGGGCTTATGACCTGCTGCACAGACCCTGCCCCCAGACTTTTCCCAACCACCTCTATTTCCTCTCCCCTGAGAGAAGGCTAGGCTGCTACCCATCCCTTCCAACCTCTCGAGGGGTAAGGCTGTGTTCATCTTGTTTACCCCAGCACCCAGGGCCTGCTGCTGTGCTGGCACACAGCAGGTGCTCAATTCACATTTGCCTAATGAACTGAGCACAGCAGTGAGACTCTCATGGTGCCAGAGCAGAGAACAGACTTAGGGCACAAATGCTTGCTCACAGGGTGCCACAGGCCATGCAGGCCTCGATGGTGCGTGCAGGTGAGCTGGGGGAAGACGAGGCTCTGCCATCTGGCCCTGGGCCACTGAGAGCACTGTGGTACAGCCTGAGCAGTATGTTTAGGAAAGGGGAGGGTGGGCAAATGTGATAGGTAATTTTCCTATCTCAGATTTCCAGGATTAAATATGACTGATTATTTTCTTAATTTGAATCAGACTGGAAAATATGTTTGCCTTCTAGAATGGGATTCTGCTAAGGCCTGAGGCATCCGGTTCTTATGGATGGCTGCAGGATCCACATGATAGCCACCATCATGCTTGTGGAATTCATGGAATATGGAGGTTCCAAGCACTTCCTTGGGGTTTGTGACGCAGGTAAGAATCAGCCCAGGACCACTTTTCATGTGTCCAACAGGCTGACAGATCCGTTTGGGGGTCAACACTGCAGGAGATAACTGGCTTCACAGGATGTTCTGAACTAAGAGTTTATGTTTAGAAAGGTGGATTTGCTGAGATCGGGAATAAATTAATGACTTTCATGAGCAGAGTGGGACGAGAATGCTGTGTGCCTTTCACATTCTGGAGGTTGCTGCTTCATCACTAGTGTTCCCAGCAGAGCTGTGTCTCCATCATTGCTGACACTCCTCTCCCCTGGGGGCAGATCACCAATGACCACCACAAAGCCAAGGTCCAATCAGCCAAACTGTCTGGAACCAA